GGAGGTGTATGTGACCCTTAAGGAGGCGAAGGGACCTGTCCCTCCCAATATTAGGGCGGCACTTGGCGCTTTTGCCAGGATGGGGGCGATTGCCGCATGAAAGGAGGAGGAGATCGGGTTGATAGGAGYTACAGGAGAGACAGGGGTGCGGGTTAGGGCAGCCATTGCTGACGGGTTGGATGAGTGGGTTGGGAGGCCGTACTCCATAGGTAGGACCTTCCACACCACTCAGCTGATGACTGGCCATGGCTGCTTTCCCGCGTACCTGTATGGAATTAGAAGAACAGACTACCCGCGGTGCTTTCATTGCGGGGCGGATAGAGACGATGCGGAACACACTCTGATCGAATGTCCAGCGTGGACGAATGCAAGGGATTCCTTGGTCAGAAAGTTGGGAGGGGTGCAACTTACCCTTCCTGGGATAGTCAGATTGTCCCTGGATACCCCGGGGGCGTGAGTTGCATTCCAGTCCTTTTCAGGACTTGTGATGAAGGCTAAGAAAGACGCGGAGAGAGAGAGAGAGCGAATGTTTCTCAATAGGAGAAAAGTGTGTGCGAGGTCGCAAAGGAGAGTAGCTTCTAGGCGGCCACCCCGGGCGAGGCTTCGGGCAGCTTTTGCGGCGCCTGACCTGGTCTAGTGCGTCGCTTCCCCTGAATAAGAGAAGAATGAGCATGCTGATGCAAGGGTTGTGTGAACCCGACTAGTGCATCTTGGGATGGATGGTCGGGTATGGACATATATGTAAATATGTAGTATAAGTAGTAGTTAACTATTTAATAGTTAGTTAATTAGTTTCTTTCTTATTGAATAAGGTATGAGTGATGCGTAAATGAAGATAAGAGTATGGCGAACCGGCCAGGCTAATCGGGATGAAAGAATAGGTGTGTTTGTAATGTGATTAGTATCACGGATCCGCTTCCTTTTGTCCAGCGAGTGAATGTTTTTTGCACCAGGTGGGTTTTTAGTCGGTAAGAATCCGACACTCCCTTGGGTACCGGGCACAAGGAGCCTATTGAAGGATTTCCCCCTGCCGAAAAAAAAAAAAAAAAGGGTTGCGTCAGTGTTGCGTCAGGGCAAGGACATCAGGATTTTTTTAGGGATACTTCAAAGTTGGAACGTCAAGGTGGCTTTTGGGATGCGTCAGGGTTGGTACGTCGGGGTAGCTTTAGGGATGCGTCAGCGCTGGAACGTCGTGGTTGCTTTAGGGATGCATCAGGGTTGGAACGTCGGGATTGCTTTAAAGATGCCTCAGGGTAGGAGCGTCAAGGTTTCTCTGGGAATGCGTAAAGTTTAGAACGTCAGGGTTGCTTTAGGGATGCGTCACGGTTGGAACGTCGGTGTTGCTTTAGGGTTGGATCTTTAAAGTTGCTTCAAGAAATCGTCAGTGTTGGAACGTCGGGGTTGCTTTAGGGATGCGTCAGTGTAGGAACGTCGGGGTTGCTTTAGGGATGCGTCATGTTTGGAACGTCGGGGTTGCTTTAGGGATGCTTCAAGGTTGGAACGTCAAGGGAGCTTTGGGGATGCGTTCGGGTTAGAACGTCAAAATTGCTTTTGGGATGCGTCAGGGTTGGAACGTCAGGGTTGCTTTAGGGTTGCGTCAGGGTTGCGTCAGGGTTGCGTCAGTGTTTGCTTTAAAGATGCGTCAGGGTAGGAGCGTAACGGTTGCTTTGGGGATGCGTCAGGGTTTGCACGTCGGGGTTACTTTTGGGATGCGTCAGGGTAGGAACGTCGGTGTTTTCTTAGGGTTGGAACTTCGTGGTTGCTTTAGAGATGCGTCACTGGCGGAACGTCAGGGTTGCTTTAAAGTTGAAACGTCAGTGATTCTTTATAGATGCGTCAGGGTTTGAACGTCCGATTTGCTTTAAAGATGCGTAAGGGTTGGAACGTTAGGGTTGCTTTGGGAATGCGTTTGGGTTTAAACGTCGGGGTTGCTTTAGGGATGCGTCAGGGTAGGAACGTCGGCGTTGCTTTAGTGTTGGAACGTCAGTGGTTCTTTATAGATGCGTCAGGGTTAGAATGTCGGGGTTGCTTTAAGGATGCGTCAGGGTTGGAAAGTCGGGTTTCCTTTATGGATGCGTCAAGGTTAGAACGTCAAAGTCGCTTTGGGGATGTGTCAGAGTTTGTTCGTCAGGGTTTCTTTAGGGATGCGTCTGGGTTGGAACTTTAGGGTTTCTTTAAGGTTTAAACGTCAGTGGTTCTTTATAGATGCGTCAGGGTTAAAACGTCGGGGTTGATTTAAAGATGCGGCAG